AGTTACGAGGATGGCGACCGTGACCCCCGTGATCCCTGTGACAGTTGACACTTGTCGTATCTAAGAGTCCAAAAATGAGGACAGTTACAAGGAAGCGAGAGGGGGGGGTCGAGCCAAACCTTGGAAAAAAAACGGCGGAGCCAAACCTTTGAAAAAAAACCCCTCCACCTGGTTCTTGTGTGAAGATTTCGTCAGCTGAGTTGAGGTTCTGAACCTAAACCCATCTTTGCCTGTGCCGTCTTAAATGACATGGGCCTGGTGAATATGTTTGATCAGACCATATGGGTTTAGGGGTTTAGGGTTAAGGGCTTAGAGCTAGCCGGCCATGTCCTGACGCACTCCACGTCTATGCTAAAAATGATTTTCTGCAGGCCCTTCATCCAAATCATCTGAGGTCCGTCAGAGCCTACAAGACAACTTACAAGATACCTTCAAAAGGGTTTGGGGATTGAGGTTATGGGGATTTAGGGTTTAGGGTTATGGGGATTTAGGGTTATGGGGATTTAGGGTTATGGGGGTTTAGGATTTAGGGTTACGGGGATTTCGGGTTTAGGGTCACGGGGGTTTGGCGCTTAGGGATGCAGCTTGTTTCCGCCCGCCATCCTGGCAGACGCAGTGCGTGCCCATGTACAGCTACGGAACTGAGAGTTTCCAAAAGGAGCTGGTAAGGAGTCTTTGAGTACGCGGGAATTTCACGGTTTCGGGGTTTTAAGGGTTTTGTGATGCTCTTGCAGGAGATTTCGGGGTAAGGACTCTATGTTCCATGAGGTTCAAGGGTTAGGGGTTGCGGAGAATCAACGGGGATTGCGAAGGGATTGCTACAGAAATATGATTGGGATCGCTAACGGGTTTCATAGGGGCTACATAGACATGATATGAGGGTCAGGTCATAATGAGGATGTACAAAGCTTAGATGGGAGCTCCGGAGAGAAACGTGTCATACTCCCCCCAATCCCTCAATGTCAGGGTTGAGGGCTTAAGGTTTAGGGTATTGGATTTAAGGTTAGGGCTTAGGTTTCAGAACATAGTGGGGCAGTTCTCTAAAATGCTGGTGGGCTCTGTAGTGATCTCCTCTCAAAATGGGGCCCACAACCTCAAACCCTTTCTTGCCTGGATTTCTCTAGTCGGATCAAGGAGCGAGAACAAAGAAAGCCCTTCCTTGGAAGCTCCTGGCCATGGGTTTTTTGACCGGAATTTGTGCTCCAAGCTGGATCCCTGCGAGTTCCAAAGCCGGGCCAAGCCCGTGGAAAAGAGGGGCATCTTGCATGGAGCTGGTTAAAAGGACTTGACTTACTGGGGGTCAGTAGGGAATAAGGGAATGCACAATATAGGGATTGTATAGGGATTGCATTCCCTTATTCCCCACTAACCCTCAATAAGTTGATGTAGGGGCCTAAATGATTAGATCAGGGTATAACTCTATCATTACAAAATTGTCATGAGGCCACACTATTCCCAAACATTCAGGCTCTACATCGTAGGCTGTGCGGACTGCAGCTGCTGCCGTGTATGAAGGATGATTTCAACAGTTCTCTCCTCACACTTTTGACACATCCCGCAAAGACTATCGGCTCAAAGTGGGTGCTGTGTTTGCCCTCTTTGAAAATTAGCCCCCCCTGTTCCAAAATGAAGTGCGCCATGCTCATGTGGCTTTATGCCCTCCCCACCTTCGGCCTGAAGGTAGGTGGCGGCCTGGTGCTCAACCAATCAATTCAAGGCTTTCCAACGTGCCAGGGCAACTGGGCTGTGTCATTTGTTGCCATGCCTGTTAGTCTAGTCAGCGTTGTAGTTTGGGAGTACCGCGATTCGAACACCCAGGCAATCTCATCTCGAAGACGTACGGCATTGAGGATGGTCACTGTGGTTCCAAAAGCAGTCTTCGGTCTCCTGCCGCAGAGTCAGCCTGCAGGCAGAGCTATGATGTGGACGCCGCAGGGGAAATGTGGCAATGCCAGGTGAAAGACGACGATTCTGATACCAGCCACTGGGTGTTGTTGAGGAACTCCACGCAAGTTGCAATTCTCAGGAAACCCTGTTTTTTTGTTACATACCCATGCCATGGCGACTTAATAAAGTTCCTTCATTGCAAGCCAGGCAAGTTCAAGTGCATATCCGGGATGCTGTGCCAAGAGGACATTAGGCCTTAACGCGGTCACAGGGATGTATAGGGAGGTTACATAGGGATATATATGGAATGGAAAAGAAAATAGAAGCTACCAAGTGGCTAGGCAGGTATATTCCAAAGTGCACATGATATTTAAAACCATGGCTATAGTGTTATATAATAGGTTAACTTGGTTATTACTCCTTTGTTTTCCTACGTAGCCAAGAGGACATTGATCCATTTGCAGTCTGGGATCAGCTTGCAAGCGTGGGGGCCGATGTCGAGCCTGAGATGTCGTTTACCGCTCCTCGGTTGCTGGCGGTATAGGAGCTGTAGTCTAAACTCCTTAGAGGGGGCTATTTGGGGACTATTTAGGGGACTAGTACGGGGCTTTTAAGGGGGATGCTATAAGTTTAGACTATAGCTCATATGGGCACATGTAGAGAGGGAATGGAAAAGACAACGGAAACCCCCTTTGGGTTTAGGGCTTACGGTGTAGAGTAATGATGGAGAATCAGATGGACAAGGCCGTGGACAATTAAGTCGAAACCGGGGTTACTACATATGGTACTTTCCCAAAATTAGGGTACCCCAATATAGACCCCAATATATTATAATCCTAAATATGAGGACCCCCAAAAAGGTACCCCTAATTTTGGGAAACTCCCATATGGCTTGTATAGGGACTTCTCAGATCGTGAGTTCATTCGAGTTCCTTAGCAGCGACTCAGGCTTTGTCTGGCATGACGATTTATGGTGGCGGTAAAAATAATGCACTCACCAAGTTGACGAACACCAAATGGCTCGCTTGTGGTGAGGTTCCAGCACATTGTGTTGCAGTGGAGATGGTCTCTGGTGGATTTCTGGTCGGCGACAAGATTGATTTCAGCGACAGCTACTGGCAAAATCAGGCAACCTGGATACGGGAGAACAAAGCGGTGATGTGTGGCGGCGCGGCCGGGTATAAATATATCGGTTGCGAGCTCATCACAGCAGACAGCCGTGTCCTGACAAAGCAGGCTTCCATTCAAGTGCAGGCCTCTGACTCCACAATCAAGACGTATACCCAGAATCCAAGCATGGTTACGCTGGAGGATGGAAAGATCTTCATGTGCTTCATGGAGCGCTTTGCAGACAGTTCCAGCAACCTGGTATGCACCTTCTTGACGGAGAAAGATGGGACACTCAAGTCAGAATCCAAATTCGTCATGGAAGACAAACTGCACTGGGCGGGCCAAAGCGCTGCGATGGGCATGCTGGCCAAAGGCAAGGTGCTCATGTGCCTCCACACTGGCCCCAAAGATAAGAGGATGATTGCCAAGGTCCTCACCATTGACGGCACCTCTGTGTCAAGTGGCCCTGTGCTAGAACTACCATACCATTCAGGCTTGAGTGGGAGTGGGGGTGTCCTTAAAAGCCCGTGGTTTTGTATTATCCCGCTCCCCTGTGACACACCCCGCCCTCCCTGCAGTGTGACGTCTCTCACTGCCCGTGAGCCGGATTGGTAGGCTTTCACGGCCTCCCTCTATGCAGAACATATCCGAAACTGCAATCTTACAGAACCAGTGAATGCAGAATCCCTCCGACTGTGGGCAGTGTATAATATGCTATGCTCTTGTGGTGTGGACATTTCCATGTGATCCTGGTGCGGTAGGTACCTCACTTCCGCTTCCGTGGTTTGGAAGGGGTATGCGGGGTAAGGTTGTCTCGTTGTGATGTTTTGGGTACGAGGAGTAGATCCTCATCATCAAAGGTCACCAAGAATCGTGCCGAAGATAGCAATGTCAAAGTTAGCACTGGGACAGTGTGGAATTCCAAAGCGATGACACCTGCGCGGATGGTGACCCCGACCAGTCCACTCCGTAAGACTGCTGGCAATTGTGAGATGCGGTATTCTTGCCATGGCTGAAACCTAGTAACGTGGATGATGATGGCAACGCGCTACGAACGACGACAGTTGCGAGGATGGTGACTCGGACGCGCATGATCCGTGTGGCCATGCGCGCCGTTGAACGATAGTATTGCAGAACGGTGGTGGAGGGGAGAGTCAAGATCAGATGTGCCCCAGAATTCTTCACTACCCTAAAGCTGAGCAGCCATACCTTAAACCCTGACGAGGCTTGGGAGGCCTCTACAAAGTTGCCGTCATGAACTCCTTGGAGGCTTTGTATTGCGATCCAGTCAAGCACCAGTGTAGCTTGATTTCCGTATCCGGAGACAAGCTCACGCTCTCTGACCCACTGCAAATGGACAACTATGGCTGGCCCTATGCCAGCATTGCGACCTTGTGGAGCGACCGGGTGATGTATTGTGCAGGCTCAAAGAAAGACAATAGGCCGGCAAACCCTTGGTGTACCACTGTGACATGCAAAGACAAGAAGTGCACCAAAGGCAAGGCAAGCCACCCCAACGATGCTGACGACAAGAATCCTCAATGTTACCGTCCCGCCGTCAGGACCCTCGTGCCGGGCAAGGTCGTCGTGTGCACCGAGGACAACGACAACGATATTGCTCAAGGCAAGCCGTTCTGTGCAGTCTACGCACTTCCATCCTCATAGAGTCGAGGGCTGGTTTTAGTCGCCTTGCGCGCGAGAAGATGAAGTCAGGCTGCAAAAAGCGCTTCGTGAGTGTCTCTTCAGCTTGCGGGTTCTGTATGCGTTCTGAGGCTTGTGATGCGACAGGCTCCTCAACAGTTGTTCTTGAAGTAAATGGAAGGAGCAGGGCCAGCTGGATCATCCCCAGCATCACGCTTTGAATAAGCGCATTGGGGACCGTGGCATGCCCAGGGTTACGTGTTATTCTCCTCAACAGAGGGCACCAAGGTTCTCCACGGGTTGGGACGAGAGATGGAGTGGGCGTGTTTCATGCATGTAGAAGGTGCTATCATGCTGCCACTGGTCCGCCGAGTAAGTTGCGCAGCATTCGTCGTAAAGGGATTTGTCTGATAAGATTTGTTGATGTGATGCTGTGGCCATGGCGCTTGTGTTGGCTGCTAGGGTAGTTGCTCTCTTGCTAGCAACTTCCAGCAATTGTGTCTTCGTTGTTATGCTTGCTGACGCCAGTTGAGACGCCTTGAGAATCTACCCGACTGGTTATCCCAGCCAGCCAAGCTTTCTGGTTCCCCCCTTGTCTCAAGCAGCTTGTATCATCCTGTGCGTGATCGCTTCCCCACTTCAGCCAGAGCCTGAGCAGTTTCTTTTTTAAGGATCAGCGCTGACCTGTCCCGGAGTCCTCCCCGGAATGTAGTCACAGGCCTAAGGCCCCATGTCAAGCTCTACCGGCGGTGTTCCCAGGGATTGCTTCTCCTAAGTCTATGTAATCATACAGTTCAGAACACTCCGAAACTTATTGGTTCTTAGTGGGCAAGAAATGAATATGTCATGTCGGGGCTATATAGGAACTTTATTCCCTATTCCCTACTAAGAACCTCTACCAAAAGCAACTTCTGTCGGCAACATCAGCAGGATAATGGTATCCGGACTCCACAAGCGACGGCTGTTCTGCCAGTTCACAACATGGGGACGCAACTGTGGCCCCACGTTGTCAGGATGCCACGAAGCAGCGACCACCCAAAACCAGGGGACATGAAAAGTGTGTAAAGCGTGTGGTGCCATGCGAGGGCGTGTGCTGTTGACTGATTCCTTTCAATTACTCTGAACAAAGCCATAAATTTAGCATACTGTTTTGGGTTCTATAGGGAAGCAAAGGGAAGCATTGACTTCATACATGTTTCGCAGTTGTCCGTAGGGCCTTTGACGTCACAACTTATATTCGTACATGTGGCAGCGCTAACAGTACTCATACTGATATTGTTACAATTCCTTCCATTGTCAAACAAAGTAGTCTTCTCATGATAGTTCTGATGATGGACCATTAGGAACATCCATCTGCAGCTCTTTGTGAACATGATTCCCGTTGCCCCTTGATCCTGCTGCTACTCTTACCCCCTGCGCCTCCTCCTCTCTGCACCGTGTGTTGTCTTTCTCCTCCTCTCCTCCTCTTCTCCTCCTCCTTTCCTCTTTCCCTACATAAACCTCATAAAGCCACAAGTTACATTACACGCTAAATAATATCCCCTACGACCCGTATAGTATCCCTAAATCATTACCCCCCCACGTCCATGTAGAGATGCCCACGCAAAACCCAAAAGCCCCTGTAGAACCCTTATAGAATTCCGAAATCACCCCTAAATCACCCTAAACCCTCAGCCCAAAACCCTAAGCCCTAAACCCTAAGCCCTAGACCCTAAATCCTAAACTCTAAACCTTAAACCCTACCCCCTTAAGCCGTCGAGTGATCCTCGTTCTGCTAAGGCCATGGCCGAGGAAGAGGAGGCGAGCTGGGACCAGACCCTGGACGAGTGGCTCATCAGTGAGGCCTGGTTTTAGGGTGTAGGGGGTTTAGG